ATATGATTCACTTCATTAGTTTCAACTTTTTAACATACTTAAATAAAAATTCATGGGATTAATAAAAAGATAAGACATTAAGGTAAAAATTATTTGGAATTAATGAAGTATTTAATTATTGATACCCTACAAAACACATTTTGTAAACCAAAAAATTAATTAATTACATAAGCATAAAAAAGCAATAACTCTCAGTAAGTTAAGATATTAAACAACACAATTGTATCATTAAACATAAAAAATATATAATTAAAAAAAGTCTTTGCCTGGTATTTAATCAAATAGAATATCACACCATATAGATGTAAGATGGCCAAAATCAAAACATATTAGATAGTTAATCAACAAGCTTTATATGAAAATATTATATATATATACCAGATACCTATATAATATACAAAATAAATATTGAATTTCAAAACCGTACAACTAATTGAGACCTTATATAATAAATTTAAATGTATGAATAAATTATCCAAAAGACGTTTTTTGGGGAGGTTTACATACGAAATGACCTTTTAGTGTTATTATTTTTCTTTTGACGTGCATAAGTTAGTACCTTCTATATATCTATGGTCTGTACACCCGCCAGTCGGCATACACCCCTGTGTCATTTGCCAAGCGCGCGTGTATGTGCACATTGCAACGTGGCGAACCCGAGAGGTTATTCGTAGTAAAGCCGCCCGTCGTCCACGCGCCGCCGGCGGGGCCACTATTTTTATTGACCGTACAGCCGGAGGGTCTTCTTAACGCCTGCGTCGGCTACCTTTTGAAACAATGTATCAAAAAAAAAAAAAAAAACCCCAACGACAACGAAAAAATATTATATCAATATGACAACCTGATTTTCGTTTTTAGATTTTATTAGAAATTAAAAATATTTTAAGTTATACGTCTAATACAATATGTAACTAAATACTATTGAATACGTTATACGACGAAACTATTTGAATTACTTAAGCAATTTAATTTTGTCGTTTATTTATTGCTTAGCATTTATAACACAATTCACAAAAAACCTTTGAAAAATGACGGATTCTACTTCAACGAATAATAAATAGTTTCAAAATAAATTGAAATTCAGAGATGAGGCCATTGTAATAAGACTACCAACATTTAAAGAGGTAAATCTTCTTGAGAGAACTTTTATGTGAAACTTTACAGAATGGAATTCAGTTTATAAATGTCTAGTATTGTTTTACCTTACCACAATTATTACACAAATTACTAAACTCTTAGGGGAGGAGAGGTACAATAAAACGTGAAGGAATGCCTGGTGTGAATGTGTGATAATTTTGATAAAACACAGTGTACGTTGTACGAAGTAAAACTTAGGTTGGGGTAAAAAATAAATAATAATTGATTATATTTTAATACTTGGTAAAATAAGACATAATGTGATATATTAAAATTAACAATATAAGGATATCTGAATTAACTATAAAAACAATAATTCAATATTAAGTTGTAATTGTATTCATAAATTAATTTAATAAAATAATATATCCTTTATATTCAAAACAATAAAATGTCAAACAATACTATTGTTAAATGCAGTAAACGTATCTAGGATTTCTTCGCGTAGGGGATATTAAGATTTTGTTTTGTTGTGTACAAATTTTGGTCTACGGGAGGGGTGGGGGTTATGACCCCATGCCCCCCGTAGATACGCCACTGGTTAAATATATAATCTAATTGTTTGTATCTTTATTTAAAGCCATCGGAAAGTGGTGAAAAATCGGTAAAATGTCCAGAATTCCGAAATACAAGACAAGTATTTTATTATTTTTATGGTAGTTCGTCAAAACTAAATACTAAATACATAATCTATACCTATTTAAAACTGCTGTAGAAAATACAACATTCAGCATGCGATGTGATGGCCAACTATAGTGTACCTTAAAATATATTAAACTGTAAAAATTATATTTATAATATCGTTTAATATTGCCATGTTCTACATAACCATAAAAGTACATATAGGTAGTGACTATAGCTGTACTTTACTATACCTACAATTATTTTATTTTGGTTAGGTTTTTGAGTTTTGACGAGTTTAGATTTAACATTTGTACTGTAATAAAACAAGATGGAGTTTAGTAGTTCCCTATTAAACGCTTACAAATCATATATTTTTATATACAGGGTAAAACACGACAAAAAAAAATGATGGTACTTGCACATATGAAAAAAATTGTAAAAACTATATGGGTAATAAATAATTTAAGAAATATTATACTCATATTAAGAAATTCCCAAAAATAATATTTTGAAAAAGTGATATGAGTTAAAAAATATTAAATTTTTGAAAAATTCTAAAAACTACTTGACTTAGATAAATGTTTTTAACAACAAATTTTTTCCTATAATCAGATTTACAAATTGTCTATTTTGAATATTTCCAAAAAGTATAGTCAAATTTAAAATTTAAAATTTTCAGTTTTAAAAAATAAAAAAAAAATAATATACGTTTGGCTCAAAAGTTATTTCATCTGCCACGTCTTCCTGTTACGCCCTGTATACTATATAGTGTATATATAATATATTATTAATTCTGTAAATATATTGTACACATAACAACTATGAACATTGAACAACACTCGAGTGCCTACTCCTTTTTCTTAACTGAGTAAATTTAATTTTTTAATTTTTTAATTACAACCGAAATACATTTTGAATTAATGGTTTATAATTCATATAATAAAGGTAAAAAAAATAATAACTAACAGTTTTAAGCATGTCGTTTATTTTACCAATATCCCGCAGGGTTTCTGATAATGGTATGAAGGATTTAATATGGTGGTTGTTTAAATAGGCAAGAAAAACGTGTTTAATCGGCAGTGCCAAAGGAGTATTCACAAAAGATAGAAGAGAACGGAAGAGGGTTCGTTAAAAAACAACAGACTTGGCATAATGCCGCCATTACTCATAACTCATAACTCATAAGAATTGTTTTCCTAAGTTTTCCTTAGAGTAACAAATAAAACAACAGCACAGGATAATGCTTGGACAGTTGGACCTTCCTAATCGGTCTACCGATTAATTAGATGGAAATAATTCAATTTCAAGAAAACAAAATTACTCTTCGCTAAAATAAGCGAATAAATGTTTTCATTTTACCAATAAATTAGAACACTGATGTTACTAAACTTTATTTTAGAGTTAAGAATGATTAATATCTTATTATATTTATCATAATTTCTGACATCTTTAAAAATATATGTTTAAATTATTAATAAATATTATAATATCTTATTTTGTAGTCTATTAGCCATAGTTTGAAGATAGTTATAAACTTATAAACATTTAAAATTATTTATAGAAAACGAGTATGATAAGAGAACTCTAATTTATTATCATATTAAAACATATGATAACATATTATACTTAATAATATTATGTTCTACCTATCTATTATACATTTATTTTATACCTATTAAAATTGAAAAAATTGTTGTAACTTGTATTGTATTTTAATTTAAAATAATTTATGCAAGTTAATGGTTATAGAAAAAGAAGACTTCAAAAATATTTTGGTACGGAAACGCAGGTCGTAGACTACATCATTTGACAATTATAACTTCCATTTGTGCTCTGAACTGCATTAAAGATATGTTTATTCAAAAGTTTTTATCTACGTGATTAAAGTTTAAAGTTACGGAAACAACTTTTGTATAATAATTGAAAACTATAAATTTTATTGTACAATAAGAAAGTGTATTGAATGTTACTCAGTGGTATTTGTATACCTATTGACTATTGTTAAATTCATATTGGTACTGTATTTTATATATTATACTCCCTTATATTGATGTGGGTGTGCATATCAACATATTGATGAAAAAATAATTGGATACATGATCAAATTATTAATGAAATTTATATACAGGGAGTTCCATAAAGGTTTACTAACCTAGAGGTGGCAGTGTTATAGACGTTTAAATTTACATCAACAATTTTAAAATAGTAAGACTTCTTTGAAATTCATGCATAATAAATAAAATATTATACGTTGACTAGAAATTTCAAAATAATGTAATTACTAGGCATTGATCAGATGTCAATGCCAAATAATCATGTGAAATTTTGATTTTAACAGACACAAAACATATTGTTATTAATATTGCTTTGGCTCTTTGATCTCATTGTAAATTGTAATGTAAGATTGTGGTGTGTTATGAACTTATGAATAAATGTGGTATTTATTTTTGATAATTCATTAATTTTATATAATGATAAATCATTGATTGCAATGGAAAATAATTCTCAACAAAACAATGCTTGATAGTTGACGACATTTCTTTAAAATGTTTCCTTGCAAATAGAAACAAACTAACAATTAAGAAATAAAAAATGAATTTTAAGTTCTAAAATTATGTATTCTTTAATCATACTCATGGATGAAATTAAAAATATATGTTTGAAAATATTTACTATAAACTATAAAACAACAAGGTTCCTTGATTTAATAGAGAAAATTACTAAATAAATACATATAAAAAAACCACGATTGTCACTAATGAGCACAATTTTTTCTTGTTTTTTAATAGATATATATTTTAAATATATTTATTATTTGTTTAATTGTTTATTTTTTATTAATCAAAATGTAAAATCTTATTAACAAACAAGGCCATATTTAAGAATAGATAAATAAGTGGAGGACTAGACACAAAAAATTGATTTTAAATTGTAATACATAAAAACATATACTCTGTTTCAAAAGAGAACATACCGATCGGGGACCAATTTTTGTCCGCTGGCGCTCATCCGCCACCAATTTCCCATTGTTGGCGTGATCACGTGGTTCTCAACTCACCAATCAAATCATTCGACATGCGCTAAAGCGGTATGTTCCCTTTTGAAAAGAAGTATAGTGATATTTTAAATGTAAGTCACAGGATCTTCTCCTGACTCCTAATATTCTACCCTGACAATAAATATTTAACTGTCTAAGTAGTAAAATAAATTATAACTCATAATGATTTTAAAAATCTTACCTGATAACTCATTACGTCTGTCTCATCGATGTTGTTAATATCAAAAGTTGTAGAATTTTGATTGAATAATCCTTTTCCTGGATACGAAGTACTACGTCTAAATTTTGATGAATTCATAGGAGTAGATTGATGTTGATGATGATTGTAATTAGTATTTGGCTTACGACCAGCTAAAGCATGCATTGGATTCAAATTAGGTACAGAACGACCACGATTCCACGATGAACCGGCTATACCACTTTGATTTTGACTAGAGTTAAGCCACGAGTTCTGATGTGACTGTGACCAAGAGTATCCCTTACTGGCCATGTACAGGTTCTGCGGATGAGCTGACTGTTGCAGTTGCCTAGACAGATTGTGAGGGAAATTGTGTGTGGCGCCAGATGCTTGACGTCTATGATGATGTTGCTGTGGTTGCTGTTGCTGGTGATGAGGTCCCAGGCCAGTATTGTACAAAGTATTTGGGAAATTCTAAAAACATCAAATATTAAAATGTTTAAGTTGAAAATTAGTCACCTACCTATATAACTTATCGCCCAATTTAAAATGATGTCAAATATTAATTTAATTTATAATTTTTCTTGAGTATAGGAAAATTTTCAAGACTAACAAAAGTTTATAATAAATAGGTATTGTTTAATTCTTGAATGAGGCTGGAAATAACAATGACAGTAATTTACATAAATAAGCAGAACTTTCTCAAACAAGGCACTTAGTAAATATGACAGTGATTGGTGCTTCTTTTTCATATTTCATAGACAATAAGAAATATTTATGAAAACTTTATTGGTTGGATAATTATAATAAAAAGACAGTTTAAAATTGAAGACACATTTATTAACAAATAAATGAAACTAAATTATGAAAAGTTGATAAGCTTTATTTTCCTGATGTATTTTATAAAAATATACATTTATTAGGTATTGAAAAAGAAATTGATGGCCTTGTGTAAGTAGACATTTCTTAAAATTGTGTAACACTTAATAAAGACTTCATACTAATTTGAAAAAAAAATTATTTTCATTTAATACTTAATAAACTAGGTACCTAAGAAAGTAGAAAACTATAAACTATAATTGAAAATAATGATTTATTTAGGTTTTTATAAATTTAATGGATTTAATATACTAATTAATGTTCTATTCAAGTTGGACAACTATTGATTGCATTTTAATCAATATAACTACTGATAACTACTTGGTAAATCAATCAAATACCTACCTACCATAAGAAAATAATAAATAACTATTAATTATTTTTCAATAAATCATAAAGCTTAAGTATAATAAAATGTTCAATGAACTAAGATTGTTAAACAATTTAATTAGGTATACCATATTTTAACCATTTTTACCTAGTACGCTGAACGCAGGTATCTATTTACTACCGACTAATAACAGCGAATACCGAGGAATCTATTTTTGAAATCTTTAGGTTGTCTAAGGTAAGTAGGTATACAAAATTATAAGTATTAGTGTATAACCACACACATTATTAATCATCTGTGTTCAGTAGTATATCCATCTTTCCTCCAAAATTTAAACACATGGTTAAATAATAGAGATAAGTAAAATATTGTTGGACAAACTATGTGTACTAACTTAATATAGTTCACAGATTTTTTAATGTAAATAGTAAATAGGTTACATATGTAATAGAGATAAATATTTATTAAATTCACAATTTCCAAATTTTTTCTTTCACTTTAAATAAATAGGTTCTAATTTTTTTAGATATGCTGAAAAATAATATGTAAATTATTATCAAACTTAATACTCAATAAGATTATAAATAGCCAATATGGGTATATTTAAATGAATACTCTAAAATAATGGTAAATATTATCTACTAAAAACTTACATTAAACATACAGGCAGAGATTAGGGGGCTAGAGAGCTTAGAGAGGCTTAAATAAAATAATAATAAAATGTGTATTTTCAAATATTATTAAGCTAATTTTACAAAGACACCTAGGTAACATTAAAAATAAAAACAAAACTATATAACTAAGAATGATCTATACTTTATATTATTAGAGAATATTAAATATCATATATTTAACATAATGGCTTATGGCTATAGTTACTAATAGGGTACAGTTAAAGAATCTTTCAAAAGAAATAGCATGTAATAACTGCTAGTTTTTAGGAACAAATATAGGTAGGTATACAAATATCTTAATATTCCATTTAGTGACAAAATGTTTGTTTTTCAAAAATGTGTACGTACATAATGTAGGTCCAATTACTAATTGTAGTGTAAGTATACACAATACACATAAGCTTGGTAAAATAGGTATTAACTATTATAATGCTAAAAGCTTGTAAAAAATATTAACATTATTAAATTATAAATAACTAACCTATAGGTAGGCACCTAATGTTGTACATTTAAAACAATTCTTATAGAAATAGGTATTCCCTGATAAAAGTTCATAAGAATTGAGCACGGTATTGAGTAAAAGAAATTTACAAAGAATAGGCATAGGTAGGTATTTTTGTTTATTATTTTATCATGAAAACAAGTGAAAAATAAATGTTAAATTAAACAAATAAAGAGGTACATAACAACTTTTGGTTTGTGAAAATGCAGGACAGAACTGTTAACTCTACACAGTATAAAATCATTGTATTTTTTAATGCATAACTTACAGCGTTGTTTGCAGCCGCAGACGCATTTAACCCATGTATCAATGTATCATCAACGGACGCTGACCATAGACTAGACGTAGACGAGTTGGTCGACGAGTTTATCACATTAAGACTAGCTTCATTGTTGTAAGATGATGGTAACTGCATTTGTGGGCCGCCCGATGATTTATCACCACCACTACCTAACCCTGCCAACACAGAATCTTCTTTGACAGTGCCTTTGGTGGAGGGCAGCTGTTGGTGATCGCCGTTGACCGGTGACGGTGAGATCTGCTGTTTGACGGCGACGTCCTGCAGCTGCTGTGGGCTGTCGTCGGCAAAATACGACTGTGACGACGACGACGACGGCAGCCCGGACGTGTTCACCGACGATTGGTACTCGATAGAACTTAAACTAGAATTTACACTAAATTTGTACTCCCCCATTTATACAATATCACGAACGGTCCAGTGCGGAATAATGGTATGCCGCGCGAGAACCTCTCCTGTTCGAAAACGCACACGTCTGAGTATTATATTATTATTATATTAAATAGTATGACAGCGATTTCGACGACCGACAAACAGAAGACCGCTGCGGAATATTATTTATATAATATATATATAAATATATTTATAATTGGGAATATTATACAGTATATTGTATTATATTTTTCATGTAATATAATAATATGCGGTGTTTTGCGCTTGAAATTTTGATTTAAAAAAAAAAAAAAAAAATTTAACTAGAGCTGCGGCTGCAAACGGGCACGTTGGCCACCCGCTGATAACACGACTGCACGAGCCGAAACGCGATAGCAGCGGCGGCAGCAGCTTGTCGGCGACTCCCCCACCCCTCCGTACGACAACCGCCGCGCGCGCGTTCCACACCGCCAACGGAAAGCCGCCAATCATATGTTTATTGGCAATTTTCGGATTCGACGCACTTCGCCGCTGCCGAAGCCGTCGTCCGCGCTCGGTGTCCCTCGACTTTTCGTCGTCGGGATGATGTATTGTTATTATTATTATTGTTATGACATATTATTATATTTATCTACTATTTATTATTTACTATTTAGGTGACTCCGCCGCGTTGTCACTTGCTTATTTTTCACGTTGTGCTTTTAATTATAATAATTTATTGTGTAAATAAAATAATAATTACAAGACGTCCAGACAAAGAAGTACCATATTATGATATTATAGGTGCCTAGTAAATATTATTACTATTATTTATTATAGGTACAATTACCTAGGTGTACAAATATCATATTATACATGTGTGGCGTGTGGGGTGTGCTTATAATAGTTATTAACTGATAAATGTTTATTAAATTTAATTAAGTTACCTGTGTAATTTATTATTATTATATCTTTACGGAATTACTGCTTTACTTATGTAAGTACTAGTCTACAACCGTAGGTACCTACTATAAAAACTGTACACTGTAGACTGTACGTCTGTACTGTAATAAAAAAATACTCTAATGATGTCTATATATAGTATACTGAAAAGTACTCAGTAGGTACTCGCGTCTCACACTATAGTATAGGTACGTTAAACGACTGCAGCAATGAAGTATATTGTATAGTATATTATGTATGAATGTAGGCAGTTGGCACCTACCTGGTTAGGTACCCGAAAATAAGTATTATTTATAATAGGTTAAGGCGGGCTTCCACTATAGACGTTTGCCGTGTACACGAAAAATGTTCAGCTATGTCCAACAACACGGTATCATGGTTAGGTTAGATTAACTTAACCTAACCAACCAATCACAGCAAAGGATTTGTATGCACGTACATTATGTACGTGTATAGTGGAAATCCGCCTTTACTTACCTATACTTTGATTACCATAGTATACCATAGATTACCATAGTACATTAGTACATTTTATACTATGTGTCTATGTATGCATGAATTTACTTATTATTTCGAGAAAATTCGTGTCTACTGTTTACTTAAAAAAAACCACGACTCTTTATAGTGTAGGTTATAGTATAGGCAATAAGCTGATCCTATGTTATTATAGATATAGTAATAACTAATAAGTACATACCTATTACTTACCCATGATATAATATAATACTATAACAGTTATATATCTAAATCGTAATACATACTAATAATTTTTTACATTATTTTAAGTTGTTTTAAGACAACGTTGTAAAAAAAAATATTTTTTATTATTTTTCTTTCTAATTTTTTTTTTTTTTATATTAATTTTTTGAAGACAATGCATTTTAATTTCTTATTCCAAATCAGATTTATTTTAGGTAACTTATCAAAGTAGGTATAAAAGTAAAATTGTTGATGACTGATGAGTATTTCATGAGTTATAACTTATAAGCAGGTATTTAAAGTTTTGATGTGTAGAGTGGAGTGGCTGTACAGAAAAATGTTGGTTTCCGCTACTCCGATCATCTTAAGTTTAGATTCTAAACTTTAAATACTTATAAGTTATAAGTTATAACTAATAAACTGCTTGTCCAAAATTTACTTTTATTGGTCGAAATAGTTGAAATAATAATCTACTTCAGAATATGCAATTAAAAATGTATATGTTGTCATTCATTGAATTAACTATTGAACAACTATATCGAACTTCCTATATGATAATAATATAGTAATATATTTAAGTATTATTAAATAGATACCTATTGTGTTAACTTTTAAGTATGCGATTGTATATGCGTATCCTATTAATCGTTATTATAATAAAGTCGCAAATCGCAATGCGCAGTTGTATATTATATAGAGGCGTAAACTACCTATTACTATGTTTTCTATAGACAATAACACATAGTACCTATAGGTGGTAGTATAATATATGATTGTTCCGCCGTTTAGTTCACTTCAAACAGATTTTAAAATAATAGCTAGCTTAGTAGTAGGTAGTTGTTCTAACTATTATATTCTTATAGTACTTGGCGGGGCTTATTGCGTATACAAGAGAGAATGTAGGGGTCGATCCCCCTTGGTTTTTATTTCTCATTAAAAGTTCTGTAGAAAAGTCAAAAATTATTAAATATCTATTAACAATGGCACACTGGCACACAGGTATCTAGGATTTTGGCGCTTTCGTACTATAAGAATTTGGCGCATTCGTAGGTACGATACAACTTTTTTTATTAAGGGGACGGTGCTCCTCTACTGTTTATTATTTTTATTTTTGTTTGCGTTGGTTAAGCTCCTTTACTTAATTTTTCCCAATTAGAGCACTGATTATAACTCATTTAGTACCTATAAGTGCAGTGGAATTTTGTAAGGGGAGGGCTAAGTATCACAAAAAATTACAAAAAAGCGGTTAAGTGGATGTCACTCTGCCGTACAGTAGCCAGTAGGTTACAAGTGGGTCACTGTATAATGGATTGTATTAAATTTTAATTCAATGATATCATATTACTATCATTCGATTCTGAGCGGAGACGGTTTGTCAATCTGGATATATTATATTTTATTATAAGGCCTGTATGTTGAATTAAATAAATTACAAAAAAATAAATAAAATCGTTATTTTTATTTGTTTTTATGGTGATAAACAAAGCGTTAGAAATTAAAATCCCATTTCTAGCGGTTTTTTATAATTTATTGGTGGTTTTTCCAGTGGCATTAAATAACTATTGAGAAAAATGACCTTTTAAAGTACCATCTTGATCCAATTTTCTAAAAAATAAGATACTATATGTTGAAACCAAAGCAATCCTTCTGGTAGAAATTTTGTATACAAAATAAAAAAGGTTGGCAAGTGGGTGTCGCTCTGCTGTACAGTAGGTTACAAGTGGGTCACTGTATAATGGATGGTATTAAATTTGAATTCAATGATATAATATCATTGTATAAGAAAAACGATTCTGAGCGGTGACGGTATGTCAGTCTATGTATAAGACATATTATATACATATCTATGGTATTAAACAAAAAATTGACCTATAATAGGTACCTATAATAAATTCCAAATTAATCATATCACAATATCCATTAGATACTTATAACACGTTATACATCAACAAAAACCGTGATACTATCATAGATATATAATAGTACACTTTAGAAGTTTCAAGTACCCACGAATTATATTATTCAATCACAACAAAATAACTAAAATAGTTATTCTAGGTTTTTTAATATGTAATTTCGTCCAAATTTGAATTTAAAATGTCTGTAAAAATAAGTGTGTTCATATATTTTTTAGATTTTTTGGTTACAGTATGAACTATTTACGAGAACCTTTGTGTTGAATTTGCAATCCTTAGCTATAAAAACTGAACATTTTATAATTTATTAATTACAATGATTGATAATTTTCGAGATTTTGATAAATTTTGTCAAAATTTGATCTTTAAATGCTTATAAAAAAAAACTGTGCATATGTATTTTTAATATTTTTCAACTGCTATTGTAACAATATATCAGGAGCCTTGTATTAAATTTTTACACTTTTTGGCCCAACAGATAAAACTTTATTGATATTTATAGAAAAAAAAACTAAAAAAAATGAAAAATGTAAATGTCCATAAACATCTCAAAAAGAGTCAAAATATTTTCAAAATTGTATGGTGTATAGAAAATGCTAATTTAAACATTGAGTGAAATTTTCATGTATCTACAGTTGTTCGTTTTTGAATTGCAACAAAATAAGGAAATCGCTACATGAGTAATCGAGTGAATATCCAATGTTGTAAAAATTTGAATTTCAAACGCTCATAAAAATTTAACTTGACTGTCCGGTAGAGATTTTTTTATTGATAAAGGTAGATAATCTTATAAGGAATCTTGTGTTTCATTTTCAAATCTTAGATTTAAAAAAAAAAATTTTTACGAATTCTTAACTCAAAATAATTTGCTAATTTTCGTGATTTTTCCATATTTTGTAAATTTTTGAACTTTAAATGCTTATAAAAAAAAATTGTGACTAAGGATTTTTAATATTTTTCATCTACCTTTAAAACAACATATTAGGAGCCTTCTATTAAATTTTCAAGCTTTCGCAACCAACAAATAAAATTTTATTGATATTTCTAGAAAAAAAACTAAAAAAAAAGGAAAAATGAAAATGTCCCTAAACAGTTCAAAATAAATCAAAATATTTTGAAAATGTTATCGTGTATAGAAAATGCAAATATAAACAACCAGTGAAAATTTCATGTATCTACGGTCATTTGTTTTAAAGTTACACCAAAAACCAAATTCGATTTTTTGGAAAATCGATTTTGCGTAAAAATTCCCGTTTTTCCTTAATTTTTATGTTGTTTTTCCCGGCGCTTGTGAAAACTACTGGAAAATGTTTACTTTTGACCCCCCAAAGTACCAACTAGATTCACTTTCCTATCAGAAAAGGTACTATTGAGGAAAATCGAAGCACTTTTACTGTCCCAAAACGTGATGACAGACACAAAAATATAAAAATATAACAAGTATAAAACACACATCATTGTAACACTAATACATTCATCGCTCCGCTCAAATCTAAAAAATAAAGACCCTTGTAAAACAAATGTATAGGTTCTTTATTATATTATCTTAAAGAATGAATAACAGTGCCCACGAGCATTATTCATAGTTTTTTGATTTTTAAATACGATCCTTACTATAATGACTTTTTCCCGGTATATACGGAAAGACGGAAAAAATCCCTGAAAATAAAAACAAAGAAAAAATCCTCAAATCAACAACTTATTACTTATAGTATTTAAGTTGTAAAAGATAGTAAGTACCTATATTATAAAATCTAAGTAAAAAAATATATAAAAATATCGTCAGTCAGTGTAAGAACAAGTTAGGACTAGCTTACAATTTTTGGAATAAATAATAAATAGTTAATAATTTTAATAAACGTACAAATAAATAACTACCTACATTGATAGTATTATGATATCTTATAATCTGTCAGTCAGTCTGTTATACAATTATTAGTTAATTTGTGGTCTGTGGATAATAATATAAATAATAATACATTCTTAAATTCATTTTATTTTTATATTACCTATTATTATAATTAGTTTTTATTTTATCCACAGGCGAGCTGAGTAACTTTATTTTATAACTGACTGACTGACTGACTGACTAAGATATATTATAATTTTATATTTTTTTATTACTAGGTATTTACCTATTATTATTTTTGACGGCTGCATGTATCCAACAACTTCCGCAAGCGAGCGATAACTTATACCTTATACTGACAGACAATAATTGTATTATTATTTTTCTTTTTTGTATTATTATATAGGTACCTACATAATTATTGTATTTTACAATTTAAATACTAAGTATAGATGGTTTGGGAATTTTTTTCCAGGGATTTTTATTCTATAGGGATTATTTTCCTAGATTCGACTTATGTACATACGTTACTGGTACAGTGGTACATATTAGTAACAGTTAAATTTGAATTCAAAGATACAATATTATAATATCATTGTATAAGAAAAGCGATTCTGAGCGAAGACGGTAGTCAGGCTATGATATTACTGCACATTTTATGCACATAAGTATACTTGCGATGATATTATTGTGAATAAAGTAATTTATATAAATATAACCTATTTACGTGGAACCTTGTTTTAAATTTTTAATCCTTAGATATAAAAGTTGAACATTTTATACATTTTTAACTACAAAATAATTATTACATTTTAAATTTAATAAATTTTGTCAAAATTCGAACTTTAAATACTTATAAAAAAAACTGTGACTAAGGTCTAAGGATTTTTAATATTTTTCAATCGTCATTGTAACAATATATTAGGAGCCTTGTATTAAATGTTCAAGCTTTTTTACCCAACAATTAAAGTTTTATTGACATTAATAGAAAAAAAACTAATAAGATTGGAAGCTAAAAATGTCCCTAAACAGTTCAAAACAAATCAAAAATTTTATGGTATAGAAAATACGAATATAAACAACCATGAAAATTTCATGTATTTACGTTCATTTGTTTTAGAGTTACATCAAAAACCAAAAACCCGGCGCTTTTTAAAACTACATACTTTTGACCTCCCAAAGTACCAACTAGATTCACTTTCCTATCAGAAAAGATACTGTTGATGAAAATCTAAGCACTTTTACTGTAGGTACCAAATAAAAGGCTATGACAGACACAAGAAAAAACCCACTTCATTGTAAAATCAATACATTCATCGCTCCGCTTAGAATCTAAAATCGTCTCAAACTAAAGATTACATGGCTCAATCAGGGGCGTCCCTGAGGGTTGGGGGGGCAAAGGGGGCGACCGCCCACTCCATAAGTCGTGATAGATGTTCTGTTTTTGCTACTAGATAAATAAATGTTATAGATGTTGTTAATTGTTTGTTCACTGATTATACAGACCGTTGATACAAACATCAAACATAGGTACCTATAGATATTATAAGTTTTTGTTTAACAAAGCGGTATTCAAGATTAAAATGCTTTCGACTCCCTCCCTCACATGGAATTGACCTGAGAGTGAGACACTCCCCTGGGTCCAATTTCCATTTACCAAGTCTGATCTAATATTATCTGCAGCAGCTGTATGCATATTGCATATAGATATTCACTTCTATAAATTTATTTATATAGCACATAACACATAGGTACCTACATGCGATAATGCGTATATCTATATTCTATATGTATTAACTTATATGGGTGTGCCGATACCTTACTGATTTCGAGTTTCGACTTCGGCATATAGGTAAAGGTTAAAGCTATATTATTCGTTAGATAGGTATTATAATGTAGAATAATATAAAGTAAGTAATAGTACTAGTACCTGTAATCTGACTGCTAATTTTTGGTTTTTTATCATTGAATAAAAAGTGTGCACTTTTGGTGAGAGTCTCCCCCCAATCGGATCCACGCTTCAGAAGCATTAGAACACTATACAAACAATATACCTACATAACATTTTTTTTTTTTTAAATATACCTATACACTGACCTACATTATTTGTCCATACTCCATATATCTATAGCTACCCAGACCTAGGCAGTTGTACGTCGTGCCTTAAAGGCGTAAAGTAGGGTGCCTTCAGATGTTTGTGTTTTTTTACATCATTCTAAAAATATTGGTGTTATAACGTAACAATATAAAATACCTATATAAATATATATGGGTGCATGTATAATAACATAATATTGAGATCAATCATCCAAATATATTTTAAATACACCAACTTTTTTCTGAATTATTCAAACTTTGTCCGGGGACCCGAAATTAATTAATAATATAATCAATTAGATAGGTACAGTGGAGTAATCAGGACCCAGAGGGACGTTATGGATGTTGAAAGTGTTGAAACACTCCCCTCCCCAACCCTCGCAAATTTATTTTTGCAAAAATATAATTGTTATATCCTTCAGATTTCTACACCATATGGATCTATTTCATATTCGATATTATATTAATATGAATACAGAATATTGATGACTACAATAGAGTGTTTAAAGTCCCCATAAGTTATATTAAATATAAAATTAAAACACACCCCTCGTCCATGGTTATACGCAGCTGAGTAGGTAGGTATATCTGTTAATAATAATAATAATTAATAACTATTAGTTTTACAATAGTTATAGTTACTGAAATAAATAAAATAATTCTGTGAGTTAAATAATGTCCGTGGATTTACTCGGTCTTAAAATCCGTTAATTGTAAGCTACACAGATTTACTGTGATTTTTAACACAGTCATTCAGGTTATTTTGATCAAATTTATAGTACAGATCTAAATTTACCTATATCTCATCATAATAACTATTTTATATTATATAACCAATGCAAACCTATTTTAATAAAAAAATATTCGTTATACTAGAATCAACAAATCCATATGCCAGCCACGCTGTACAACATGAACTTTAGAAAATCCTTTTTTAGTACATCCTTGCATGGAGGTAAGAAGGTATCAAAACAATTTCAAGTCTCTAGTTATCAAAGTTTTGGTTGTACTGTGAACCAATCAGTCAGGACTTTTTCTTTTATACATATAGTTATTATTCAAAATTAAAACAATAACTAGGTTCCAATCGTTTTAAAACCAAAGATAGGTTTAGACCTACTACACAATTAAACTATTATAATTATTAAACATCTTATTAATTATTTTAGAATATTATGCAATCATGATTTATTTTAAATAGGCACATACCTAATTGCATCAGTATAATATCACACTTGTTGGATTGTAATTATATGGAAGCAATTTTTAACTTGTAATTGTTTGTATATAACTATCAATTATGAAAGTCAATGTTACTAAAAATATTAAATAATAACTATTGTACACAAATAAATATTAATATAACAAAATGATAATTGTAGTTTGTTGTTTATTTCAATAATATCCTACAAACTAAAATATAAGTAATGTCACTTGCCAGTATTGGTAATTATCATTGATTTATTCACTGATGATTAGATAATAATAGTATAATGGTTTTATTATAATATAGAAAAATTGGTACCTAATAAAAAATATATAATAATATACATTTTTTGATAGAATGCATAAGAAATATTTAGAAACATTAAAGTTATAAATTTTAACAATGATTATGTTAAAAAAAATGATGCATTTTATTTCTTTGGTGGAGTTGTTCCTTTAATAGTAGTTCTATGTAGTACTCTGAGGCCAACTTCACTTCTGGGTGCCTGTGTACTTGAATGAGCAAAATGTCCAACTGCTAAGTTGTCAGATATAATGAAATCGCCTGGTTCCCACTAAATAAAATTAAATAAATGAATATTATTAATGAAGTTTAAAAATGTTCTATTTTAATTTCAAATACATATTTTTTATGCTAAAAAAGGTCATTAAGACATTAATATATTCCATCACAAAAATGATAATAGTAAATCTAAGATATAATTTTTATAATTGTTTGTATAGTAATACACATATTTTTATAAAATTGTTTAGTCAAGGTTACAAATAATTCATTATGAATAAGTAAGAGTTATTGTGTTTGAAAAACATTGTATTATAAACATAAAGTACATTTTTAATGTTCCTTATTTTTTTAGAAACAATGTCAACAATATAAACCAGGGGTCAACAATTAATTTTTTTGAAGGGCTATTGGGAATTCAAGAAGTTTTTGAAGGCCATAAAAATAATAATTAAACAAATACATTTCTTGTCTACAGATAAAATTTGTCTAAGGACCATCATTTGGTGACCCATTTCATGAAATCTCATGTCATGATTTTAAAGAAATCTTAAGTGTTAGGTAATAATATAGATTTTAAAAAGTAACTTTATCATTAATATGAAAAATATAAGTTCTAATTTCTAAATTCAGTTAAATATTTATTAACAAAAATGAATACACTACGTATATTACCAAACCAAAATAAGTCATAAAAAAATTGTTCTAATTTATATTATAGGTACCTTCACACTTTTTTAGATATATTTTATCATTTTTTATAACTTATAAGTTATAATGCTCTAACAATAAAAGTGAATAATTTAAAAAATAAATGTTAAAAATCGGCTATGACCCTTTAAAATTATAATTTTTTTGAAAATTCAAACTAATAACAATACCTTGTGTACATATATATACTTTCCATTATCTTGATTGATTTTACTGTCTATTGATTTTAAAAGTGCTTTGTATTCTTCACGACTAGCAGTTGCTTCTGATGGAAGTTTATAGTTCCAAATAAAACCAGTAGTCATTCCCAAATGAAAGCACAATACCTATAGTTATGATTGTTATTATTGTTAAAATGTGTTACAAATAATAAATATCATAATTTCAAGAAAGTTATTAATAATACATACCGGTTTGCCTGTTTGAGGATGACTATATATCAGTGGATGGATAGGTGATGATCTTCTATCACTGAGCATCCAAGCTTTATTCCAAGTGTCAAAAGTATCTTTATCCAAACTTTCAATTAATTCGGTCAGTGGAATAAATAATGTATGTCCCTCTTTAGGTACTGACTCCATATGATATAAAGAATAACTAAATGGTGCTGGTTGGAATGTTCCATCTATGTGCCAACCAGATCTCCCAACATCTTAAATAATAATAAACATTTTCATAATGATGTTTTGATATTCATTTAGTTGGATATAAATTATGCTTAGAAGAACACATATTTTGAATTCTCCTAATCATAGTAACTTTTTTATATTCTGTAGTAAGTTTTCAAAAAAAAACCCACTTTCTTATCATTAATAATACTAAAGAGCTGTTCATTCTATGAACATTCCAATGTATTATATAAACTTACTAATTAGTAATTATACTAGTTACTCTAACGTTTAGAAGTTTTCTTCAAATGTATGGTTTAATATTTCATTTTGGGATTGATGAGTATGAATATTTAAATTTGTATATAGTCAATATGTTATAAGTATAACTATAGTCTATAGGTCATTATGGAAATACGATTTTCATGAAATGTAATAGTTAAATATGTTTAATAGATATTTAACAATAATAATTATTTATCAAGATTAGATAAAAACAATTAAACTAGTTGTGTAAAAGTGTATGTTATTAATATTTATAGACAGATTTACTTGTACATCCTTCATTTTTATCATTAGATACTCGAAAAACATCAGGGTGAGGTGATTTCGGATGTTTGTAGAATGTAGATTCTAATTCTCCAAACCAACGACTGATCTCGACATGCCTATCACCACTTACGATTCCTTGATCTTTAAATATTAAGATTCTATGTTCAGTAACATCTTCCTTTATCTGTTTAATAACTACAAAATGAATGTACAACATGAAAATAATATTATAATATAAATCAACTACAAATAAACTATACAGGTAAGTATATATCATAGAGTATACCTGTTACTCTATGGTAGATATATAAATGTACAGTCTAAAAAATGCATCTAACGATACACAGCTATTAGTGATTATAAAACAAAAACATTACTTTCAGGTCTATTTTCAGTTTTTAAGTCAACTCCACGAACTTCACACCCAAGTGGCTTCAAAATTTTTTCCATCTTATTGAAAATATTTCTAAACATAAATTAGGCAGACTAATTATTATCATATGCCAAAAAGCAAAGTATTATAATATTAAAAGAACTTTAGTACGAAAATGTATTACTTATTATTAGGTGAACAATGAGTATCAAAAAAAAAAAAAAAATACCTAGGTAGGTACAACAAAATTATTACTTTTTCATTCTTACCATAAAATAATAATTATCCTCGTTGTATATCTATAGTTGAACCATGCACCAAGATAACATTTAACTACCTTAGTTCATGTCGTTCACGACCACGAATTATAAATTATAATACTAATAATTGTAACTACAACTAACTACAATTCATTTCCATAACTCAATTTTAGTCGAGTACAAAAACAATATCACAATCACAGAATAATAATCATTAATACATTATTCATTGATAATATAATGTGATAAGACTTATCAAATATAGGTACTTTATAAACAGAAAAAATGATTGTCTATTTTCGCCAAAAAATGAAAGAATTTTTTGAATATACCTATATTAATATTATTATCATAGGCGTAACTAGGGGGGGGGGCAAGCCCACCCGAAACAAATTTTAGGCCCCCCTGTCAAAATTCCTAGTCCCACCAACGGTAGCTACAATTTTCAACTTTAATTTTAAATAGGTATCGTTTTTTTTTTTTTTTTTATTAATATCTTGGAAAAATATTTATTTTCTGGTTATTAAACTGTTATGTAATGGCCTAGTGTAAGACGTAATATGTATTATGTCGAGTAGTTTTAACTACATAAATACCACTTAGAAGTTGTCAACAAACTAAACACAAAAATAGTCGTAACAGACGTACGATTATTCGTTATTAGTGAATGGTGATAAACTAATAATGAGTAACGACAATCTCTGTGCCTGTGAGCCGCATATAAGGGTATTTTGTTAAAAATAGAATCATATTATATATAATCTTCGTCATTCTCCGAGTACGGCTGTTGTGTGTTCGTGTCTGGTACTCGAGTCAACGTCGTTATTATTTTTCTTGATTAAAACGGTGTTGTGACAGTTTTTCATCGAAATCCGCGTTTAGTTTAAAGTTTAAATAATTAATCTTGTTCATCACGGATTTTACCCGCTTGTTGTTGTTTTCCTCACTTGGTGGTAGTAACCTACTTAGTCAAATGCTATATTTTTAACATTTTTAAAATGAAACCATGGGAATCAACTCCAAGTACTGTAAATCCACATGGTAAGACACAATTTGTTTATTAATATAATAATAATTTATTAGTTAGGTAATAGTAAAAAATTGTAATTTGCTGTACTATCGCCTAACAGATGCTTCTAGTTCAAATTGTACAAATTTAGCACATTTACTAAACCGGTGGTACAGTCACATGAACTAAGTCATGATCCGATGATCCAAACCTAAAGATTTGGGAAATATAGAAACTGGTCCATTTCAGCCAAAACTTCAAGTAAGGAAATATTTTACTTTTTGTATTCATTTAAATATAATAATAGGGAATGTTAAGTGTATTATAATTTAATGTGATGTTAATAAATTTTAAAATTCCCATACTTTAATTTGAGTAATTTATAAGTTATTTTTACTATAGACATATCCTAAAAAGTTGTATGGTTCCCAAAATCGTGGATTTTCTGCATCATACTTTGCTGAATATAATTGGTTGGAAAATAGCTTAGAAACTGATTCAGTGTATTGCTTTCCTTGTCGGATTTTTGGTACTACACCTTCAGAAGAAACATTTACCTCAAAAGGTTTTAATAACTGGAAAAAAGTAAGTTAAAATATACATAGGTACAGACAAATATTTTATTTTGCTTAATTATTAATATTAGTATTAGGTATTATATTTGTATTAAATTACTTTACAGCTTAGTGGGTCTAAAGGTATTGCCAAAGGTTCAAAATCAAAATTGCAACTGCACTCATCTACTATCTACAATATAAATTGTATGACAAAATGGTCCATGCGTAAGGTAGCAGATCAGTCTGGTTACATAGTATACATACTTCATTGTCTAATGCCCACCGTGAAGTAGTAGTTAAAAATCAAAACTATATTAAAGGTCTCATCGATATTTTATTATTTCTTGCACGCCAAGGTCTAGCATTTAGAGGCCACGATGAAAGCGATACTTCACTAAACCAAGGTATAACTATTAACTAACTTATTGTACTTATTGTACATCAATAATATAGAATAGTTTGTGTTATTCTCATGTAATTTTAATTTTGATATTCAAGGAAACTTTAAAGAGATGTGTAAACTTCTTTCTGACTATAGTTCGAACTTCAATGATATGTTTACTGATGAAATAATCAATTATACTAGTCCTAAGATACAAAATGAGCTAATCGAGATCTGTGCTGACAATTTATTGAATCTTATAGTTGATGGAGTTAATGAAGTATCTTTTTCATAAGTAATATTTTATAATTTTTGTAGGAATTTTAGCAATGATACAAAATAGTTCCTTTATTGTTCATCTTCATATTATAAATTATGTATTGGGTATCACCAATATTTTAAGCAACAAATTGCAAAATACAAATGGGACATTAGATGAAGCAGCTTGTCTAATTAATGGAATTATAAATACATTTGAAAATAGAAGAAATTCAGATTCATACTCAGATGTTTGGAATGCAATTGTCACATTTTCTCTTGAAAATAATATAGATTTGGAAATGCCTTCGACAATAGCTACATGTGAGTATTTTGAATACCTACTTTATAAAGTAAACATGATACCTAATGTTAAACTAGGTAAAATTATGAAAATTATTTTTTTTTTTAGTATCAAAAAGAAAAAGACAAGAGCCTACTGCATTAAAGGATTTTCATGTTACAACAACCACTGGTGCAGACGATGGAGGTATTCAATATGAGGATAATGCCAAAGAATATTGGAAAAAACATGTTTTCTATCCTGTGATTGATAGTATTGTAGTTAACATGAAACACAGATTTTCACCAGAAAGTCTTAACTGGCCGTATCAATTGATAACTTCATTAATCTAGACTAAACAAAGTGACATTTTTGAAAACATGATAGGTACCTAATGTTAAACTAAATAAAATTATGAAAATTAATTTTTTTTTAGTATCAAAAAGAAAAAGACAAGAGCCTGCTGCATTAAAGGTTTTTCATGGTACAACAACCACTGTTGCAGACGATGGAGGTATTCAATATGAGGATAATGCCAAAGAATATTGGAAAAAACATGCTTTCTATCCTGTGATTGATAGTATTGTAGTTAACATGAAACACAGATTTTCACCAGAAAGTCTTAAACTGGCCATATCAATTGATAACTTCATTAATCTAGACTATAAACAAAGTGACATTTTTGAAAACATGATACCTAATGTTAAACTAGGTAAAATTATGAAAATGATTTTTTTTTTTAGTATCAAAAAGAAAAAGACAAGAGCCTACTGCATTAAAGGATTTTCATGTTACAACAACCACTGTTGCAGACGACGGAGGTATTCAATATGAGGATAATGCCAAAGAATATTGGAAAAAACATGCTTTCTATCCTGTGATTGATAGTATTGTAGTTAACATGAAACACAGATTTTCACCAGAAAGTCTTAACTGGCCATATCAATTGATAACTTCATTAATCTAGACTAAACAAAGTGACATTTTTGAAAACATGATACCTAATGTTAAACTAAATAAAATTATGAAAATGAATTTTTTTTTTAGTATCAAAAAGAAAAAGACAAGAGCCTGCTGCATTAAAGGTTTTTCATGGTACAACAACCACTGTTGCAGACGATGGAGGTATTCAATATGAGGATAATGCCAAAGAATATTGGAAAAAACATGCTTTCTATCCTGAGATTGATAGTATTGTAGTTAACATGAAACACAGATTTTCACATTTTTTCAATAAAAACGTTTTGAATTTCTTACATTTTTTTTGTAAATAGCCTTTATGTATTACCTAGGTACCATTGATTATACATAGTACCTATGTATAATCAATGGTATTACTTATTTACCTACCTAACCGTGCAATTAGCATATTATACTTCCACGACCTTCACCCTGATTCACACTTATCTACTGGGCGTCTGGTCATTACTAACACCAAAGTGTTTGAAGTTCAAAAATTCTTTAAAACCACAAAAATTTTCAAATCACCTATGTTTTAATTAGGAATTCATAATATTTTTAAATTGTATAGCAAAGGCCTGAAAACGTAATACACAGTTCCTCGTCATAAGTTATTTTAACTACAATTTAAAAATATCAAAAATTCATGATATACACTCAATATTTTTTATAGACAACCGAAATTAAATTTTTTCCGAAATTGAGTATCTATACAATTTACATGATTGTATCTATTAAAATAACTGATGTTTTTTTTCAGTTAAATTGAAAAATAATAATTTAGGTGATGTTTGTACTTACTGCTGTTTAGGTACATTATATTATAGCCTGAATGAATGAATGAATTACCTATTTATTTGTTTAATCTCGCAGTATATACTAATAAATAATAATTAATACACTACACGTCTACTGTCTACAACTAAAATGTTTTTAAATACAAATAAACAAACATATATTAAAAACATAATAAACATAATATACAAACGTGTAATAGTTGCTTGCACCGTCCAGTATACTGTGGCCCTCGGTACAAGTACAGTGTCTGAGGGTAGGTACAGACTACAGGCTACATCTAACTTGTCATGTAATTATATTAGTTAAGTAATATATGTAGTTAATAAATAGGTAAATAAAATAAGGTTAGGTAGTAAGTATAAGAAATAAGATGCAATGTTATAACAAGACCTGGGAAATCATTCAGCTCACAGCTGTGCATATTACTATATTAGCATTGATTATAATTTATAAATACTAGCATTGATTATGAATACTGGTATTCATAATCAATAATACTAGTTCTTATAATAAATTATATTAGGTTTCAAATATATCTACCTCAACATTGAATAGAACATAGTACAGTAATCGACATTTTGAATGTTAATGAAATAGGTACAATTTTATATCATCGTCGAACATAACCATTTATATTCTATAATAATACGAAATAATTATAATATTAAACCATTAGTTAGTTTATTGTTTTACAGGATATTTTTTAATGTTTAATAATATGGGTAACTGGGTAAGGACTTGGTATACTTACACGGAAAAATGATTATAATAAAAGCTGATCAATATTGTGATGTTTATGAACTATTTTTTAACCATCAGTCTATAATATACGACTATTGGCTTTTTAATGGCGAATTTAATAATTTATATAATATAAAATATTATTATTGCTATTGTGCGTTGGTTTTATAACACAAAATATTTTAATAATAATATGTTATTACTTATTGTGTTCTATGTTAATTTATGTAGGTACCTATTACTAGGGCACTATAGATACATGGTATGTAGAGCCTTACTATTACTTGGGGTATAATTTGATCACCGACGTAGGTACGCGGAACGGTATAGCACAGCGCTATCTAGCGGTCCGGGGCGGGTATCCGTTATCGTTAAATTTAGAATAAACGGTCGTCGTTCTACCACGTGACGGTTCCGGTACAACGTGGGGTATATATACGACCAGTCAGCAATGAATTCTCGTGGAGGTCTTGAGAGTGGCAGGCATGCAACGGAGTACCGAAGTGGAAAAGTGTGGACATGGAGTTGTCTGATAGGGCCCAGTCGGGTTGATCCCTGGCCATCTCGATGGACCTCCCGTAAAACCTTTTTTGTCGGTGACATTTTTTATTGTGCTTTTGACGAATTGTTTAAAATGAAAAAAAAAAAAATTCACATATCAATTTAAAATAATTTTGACTGTATTTCCGATATTTTTTAATTATTAAAAATAATAATTATCGTTGTAAAGACCACACTAATTAATAATTACTTTATTGTTGTTATTTTACTTATGATTGACCTACTTTATTGTCTAAATATTTGACTATTAAATTATCAATGGTATAAATAGCTTGAATTAAATCCAAAGATTTGGTTGTGTATAGGGAATAATAATTAACAATGGATATATATAATATATATAATTTTATTTTGTGTGTCTCCGTAAGGAAATTTAAAAAAAAAATGTAATTAGGTACCTACTACTGTATTTTTGATATTTTTAGTTTAGGCTTACGAGCAACGTTGCATTAAATTGACTAACCAAATCAAAGTTTTATACCTCTTTTTAGTTATTTAAAATAATTTGAGTATTTTCATGATTCTCACGAATTCCGTCAACATTCGAACTTCAAACACAACATGAAAAATAATATTAACTGTTTCAATGTATACGTTTGTAAATTTTACTTTGCAGACTATTTATGTTGACATGTTGTTATCAAAATAATATGATATAAATTATGAGAACCACGAGCGATGCTAGTGGCTTTCTAATAGTAATATACATTAGTGGCTTCTCATGATCTATAGGCTGACCCATCGACCACAGTACTAAAATCCTAGCATACATATTATGTTGTAACTATTATACAGAAGGGGCGTGGTATGCAAAGTGTTCCTTTACCTTTATCCAATAATTATCATTATATTAAATATTTTAGGTTCCTATTAATCGCTTACTATAATGTATAAGCTAAATGATTAGTATAATTATACACAATAATTAAGTTTCTCTGCTTATTATTGTTCATTGTATGTAAAATAGCAAATGGGCAGACAGTAGCCGCATTGTGCATTCATGAAACTTCTCTCCAGGTGTGGGTTTTTAAATACATAGTTGCAACTTGCAGGTATCCACTTAAACGTGCTCCACTCTAAAAGTTCCCATAATCAATAATATGTTATTACTTATTAGTGCACACTATACGCTATACTATAAGTCTTATAGACTATAGTTGATGACTTGATGTAAATATAATATTGTGATAACATAAATCATGCGTCTAAACTAGTTTTTTATCATTTTGTTCGTTTAAAAACGTAATATTATGTAATACACATATAAATATATTATTTGAATAAAAAAAATTAGTACAACATATTATGTAATAGCTAATATAGTAATATGTAGGTACATACAACATACCTATAAACAAAGAAAACGTTTGTTATTTATATGTAAATAAGACCAATAAGGGTACCTATTATAAGCTTTAACGGTATGTTATGTAACAATAATACATTACCAGTATATACATATGTACATATGTCAAAGTAGAATAAAATAGCCAATTTCTAACAAAATTGTATAACATTTATATTAAATGTTCATTGTGGCATGGTTAATGTTCACAACGAACAGATCTGTCATATAAATTACTATACAATGAAATCTGTCCAAAACAGACCCAAGAGAGCTTGCAAACTGTTTAGTTTGGAATTAATTTTGTTCCCTGGCATATTATAAACTATAAAGTGTCATTAAAAATATA